TGTTTTAGTTGATGGGTGTGTTTCCACCGACTGCGAAATAGCGTGTTTTGAATACATCCTTTAGGCAGAATGTTGCATCACTCCACAAAATTACGCTTTGAGTTCGTTGATGGCATTTTCCTTGCCTTACCTTTCGTGGCTCATCTGGACTCAGCCGAATATAAATTTTTACTGGTGTGTGTGTGTGTGTGTGTGTGTGTGTGTGTGTGTGTGTGTGTGTGTGTGTGTGTGTGTGTGTGTGTGTGTGTGTGTGTGTGTGTGTGTGTGTGTGTGCATATGTCTGTTAATGTTTTTAAACTGTTATGGGAATAAACGAAATCTGATTGATTGATTGATTGACTGATTGATTGATTCATTCATTCATTCATTGATAAAACTACCCTGAAATGTACAGGTCCTTCTAAAAATTTGCATATCATGATACAGTTCATTATTGTCTGTAATGTACTGATAAACATTAGACTTTCATATATATTAGATTCATTACACACAACTGAAGTAGTTCAAGCCTTTTTTTGTTTCTAATATTGATGATTTTTGCATACAGTTCATGAAAACCCAAAATTTCTATCTAAAAAAATTAGCATATCATGAAAAGGTTCTCTAAACGAGCTATTAACCTAATCATCTGAATCAACTAATTAACTCTAAACACCTGCAAAAGATTCCTGAGGCTTTTAAAAACTCCCAGCCTGGTTCATTACTCAAAACCGCAATCATGGGTAAGACTGCCGACCTGACTGCTGTCCAGAAGGCCATCATTGACACCCTCAAGCAAGAGGGTAAGACACAGAAAGAAATTTCTGAATGATTAGGCTGTTCCCAGAGTGCTGTCTCAAGGCACCTCAGTGGGAAGTCTGTGGGAAGGACAAAGTGTGGCAGAAAACGCTGCACAACAAGAAGAGGTGACCGGACCCTGAGGAAGATTGTGGAGAATGACCGATTCCAGACCTTTGGTGACCTGCAGAAGCAGTGGCCTGAGTCTGGAGTAGAAACATCCAGAGCCATCGTGTGCAGGCGTGTGCAGGAAATGGGCTACAGGTGCCGCATTCCCCAGGTCAAGCCACTTTTGAACCAGAAACAGCGGCAGAAGCGCCTGACCTGGGCTACAGAGAAGCAGCACTGGACTGTTGCTCTGTGGTCCAAAGTACTTTTTTTGGATGAAAGCTAATTTTGCATGTCATTTGGAAATCAAGGTGCCAGAGTCTGGAGGAAGACTGGGCAGAGGGAAATGCCAAAATGCCTGAAGTCCAGTGTCGAGTACCCACAGTCAGTGATGGTCTGGGGTGCCATGTCAGCTGCTGGTGTTGGTCCACTGTGTTTTAATGCAGCTAGCTATCAGGAGATTTTGGAGCACTTCATGCTTCCATCTGCTGAAAAGCTTTATGGAGATGAAGATTTCATTTTTCAGCAGGACCTGGCTCCTGCTCACAGAGCCAAAACCACTGGTAAATGGTTTACTGACCATGGTATTACTGTGCTCAATTGGCCTGCCAACTCTCCTGACCTGAACCCCGTAGAGAATCTGTGGGATATTGTGAAGAGAAAGTTGAGAGATGCAAGATCCAACATTCTGGATGAGCTTAAGGCCGCTATCGAAGCATCCTAGACCTCCATAACACGTCAGCAGTGCCACAGGCTGACTGCCTCCATGCCACGCCGCATTGAAGCAGTCATTTCTGCTAAAGGATTCCCGACCAAGTATTGAGTGCATAACTGAACAAAACTATTTGAAGGTTAACTTTTTTTGTATTAAAAACACTTTTCTTTTATTGGTCGGATGAAATATGCTAATTTTTTGAGATAGGAATTTTGGGTTTTCATGAGCTGTATGCCAAAATCATCAATATTAGAAACAATAAAAGGCTTGAACTACTTCAATTGTGTGTAATGAATCTAATATACAGGAAAGTCTAATGTTTATCAGTCCTTGGATACTTGCTGCTGTCTTTCCCCGTAGCATGAACTGCCAAAATCATGTGTGGTCTTGTGATTCTCTGATGATTTCATGATCTTGCAGGACCAGCTCAAGGAACGTCGATTAGAGTCTAAAATGGACTCCAAGGGAAGGGATGTGCTGCGTAGCTCACAGGGAAAACACGCTGACTTTACGTGGTGCTTATGCATCTGGTGGAAAGCTAAAGAGGCTATCAGTGGAGTCTGACAAGAAAGTACTTCTGCAGTGATATGTGACGAATGATTAGGAGTTTGTTTAGGATGCACTTTACAAGTTTATGGGAAGGGAGCCCGAGTACTTTCCAACAACAAACAGGTAATTGCATGAGGGTTACTAAGCTTCAAATATATTAAAAAACACATTTTTAATACATCTGCAATAACAATATACCACAGTTAAAACCCACACTAACACTAGTTACAAAATATCTCTTTGAAATGTCTCAAGACTCCCTTATATAGCAGCGATTCAACTGCAAAATATTTTGAACAAATGTACAATATATCACAACAAAAATGTTCTATAGGCACCCTGAGATGGGAATACAAATAAGAGCTGTACGTTCTCAACAATCGACGTTGTTCGAAATGTTCCTCATTGAAAGAGGCATTGAATGTCACCCTAAAGACAAATATCACCAAGTCACCAGTTCCTTACACTCCCTCTCATCTACGGCTGGGGTTACAGATCCACAGTGAAAGCATCAAAATTCATCCCTGGTCATTTCAGTTTGAAATAAACCAAACAAAACAAAATTACTGGAGGACAGTGATAAATAAAAATCAGAAAATTTGCATAAATATTCTAGACTGAATCGGAATCACTGCTGAGAGGACTCCCACATAGTGTGCAGCATATGTTGTAGGAGGCAGAGGAACCAGGTCTACTGTAAATTAAACCCCTCGTACAAAGTATTTATTTATTGATTGATTTTTCTCTATCTGGGTGTTGGTCTGGGTACTGAATGTTCTCTAACTTTGAAGTAAAAGTTCTAAGCTGCCGTTGTCATCATGTAAACCAGAGACAAGTATCATTTACATACTTTATGCCTTGACATCTTATACTGGAATACGATGGACTCGGTTATTCTTTAGATGTGGGCGCTGTTGAAAGTCTGACTGTTACACACTGTGTTTTGAATTGCATAGCAATGTGTTTGGGCATGAAGAGTCATCCTCATGCAGCTGCACTTGGGAATTTGGTCAAATTAATAAATAGTTGTTGCATTTAAGCTTTTAGTATTATATGACATCAGAACGGAGACTTTTTGTGTGACATTTCTTGATTGTGTCCTACTTACTGGACATTATTTCGTGGTGTCAGCGGTTTTTATACTGAATTACAAATTCTAATAAAAAGTAAACATATTTTTGAGCTTCTTTTTAATAATACAAATGGGCCTATGCCACGGATCCCTGGTTAGACGCTTGCTTACTTTTTAGCCAGCTTAATCATTTCCAGGTCTTCGTGATGCTAATGTCGCTGCAAGTCCTGCAGAGAAGGGTCAACGGTCAACACTAACCCCATTCATGACTATGAAGTTAACAATTTTCTGTTGGGTTGCTAAATGATTATGCATGCTAGCTCTTTACTAGCCAAAGTTAGCAAAATGAGGAAGCAACATTAACTAGTTGCCAGAGTAGGTCTGTTTAGTTTCTGAAATGATAACATTAGCCTATTTTAGAAAACAATGCCGCCAATTTGCCACAACGCCGTGACGGCATCAGAGAGCCTTAGGTCATTTATAAGTGCACAGACCGAGACGGTAATGGTGCGCAATTGTGTCCTTTTTACGGAAGATTAGGTGATGGCATCTGGCTACCACAGACTTCCCTTTATCTTGGACGTAACTTGCTTTTTACTGCGATTTAAGCCATGCTCCTTAAGTTTTTTTAACAAGCAGCTCCTAAAGGTGTCTGTCCCCAACAGTCCTGTGCAGTCTCCGGTGATCTGAGCTCCAGCTCTAACGGAGAAAAGCTCTAGGAGCACGATATTGCTCCAGTTTGCTGTCCCAGCTGATTCTGATTACAAAAGAAAAACTTACGGCCCGAGTTTACTTTCATTTTAATATATTTCCCTTCCAGAGCTCGGCAGTAACGCCCCACTTGATCATGACACTTCCCACCGTTGCATCAAGGCGTAAAATGCATTCACAAGTCCGGCGTTTTGGTAACATCACTATCAAGCGTAGCAGCATGAATGCCACAAAATTCCCACATCGCTATGCCGCCATGGCGTGTTCATAACGAACCTTGGTGGCAGTATTATGCTGATTTGCAGGCATGGTTTGTTCTCTAAAAGGGGCTATTGTCAGCATTGCTTCCTCAATGTGCTATTAAAGAGTTAGCATGTAGCCTATTAGCTAACTGGTTTATGTTTGTTGAAGAACTACGTGCAAGTTAGGTTTTATAGCAAGGTTATGCAAATGAGCAGCCTAAATCACCCCCTTCTACTTCTGGTCCATGGGTCCCCTACTGTCAAAAAATATAAGTGAGTCTATGGAGCAATACAGTTACACAATTTCTGATCCAGTTTGAAGGCCTTGTGGATATCACATATAATGTTCATGAATTCTAAAGGTGCAGAATTCAGAAAAAAAAACATTTTTAAAGTCTTATTTCTGATTATAATAAGTCACTGAGTTTTTCATACAGGCTGAACATGAAAATAGACTCCTACACCTATCTTCTGCATTAGCTTCTGATAGAAAATATACGGTGAAACTCTAGGATTTGAAACTTCTGACAGATCTACGTCACACTGTCACTTAACATTCATGCAGTCACCCATTTTGACTTGGGGCAGGGAAGGCTGTTGTTTTAGAGTCCAGGAATTAGCAGAGAACGGCTCGGCTAGTAGAGAAGAGATTCTGCTTTCATGGCATATGTGCAACTTTTGATTTGCAGTCTTATTATTTATGAATTTTTGCAAGCAAATAAATCTCAAATCACACATCAGACATAGTTGAAACACACGTTACTTTCATGTAAAGTAAAGTTAAACATTTGTGTAATTCAGGGTGTAAGGCAAAGCTGATCAGAAATGAACTTTTATGCCCCCATTGACTTACATTCATTTTATTTGTTTACTTTTTTCAGTCAAGGGGCCCACGAGCCAACTGAAAAGATAGTAGACTTAGGCTCCTTATAGCTCCTTGAATCACCTCAGATTTGAGAAAAAGATTTAGGTTGACAAGGAAACAGCTAGTCTGAACATAGCCAAGAGCAGTGATTTAATAGCTCCTATCCTTAAAGTGGTTCATGCAAATGTGGTTTTATAGTCCCAAGGCTAAAGATTAATTAAAACATTGACTGAACTTGTCATAATTAATACACAAAAGGGTTAAATTTTACAATTCCTAATGTTTAAATGTAAGCTACATGAAGGCAAAATTCAGCAGCCAGTATATTTGCAAGTGTAAGCTGATGAGAACAGCAGCAATAGCAGACATGTAAGTGTCCTCCACGTACTACATCACATGCACACGACTTCCACAACTAGAAACAATGTTTACCGTAAGCACCTGGTACATGATTTGGTGCCATGTAAAACAAGTCAAACATGAATAAATTAAGATCCTGAATTTTTCTACTGTTACTAAGTTTTGTTTCCTTTTCTTTTCAGTGCAAAAAGGTCAAACTAGGCAATATAAAGTTTATGCTACTGCAGCATTCAGGCTCTGTGTGTCAATCTGCCACTATTCAAAATGCAGATATCATTAAGACTTATATCTCCTCCATTTTTACTAATTTACAGCATTCAGGCAAGGCGAGTTTAACTGTTTGAGGCTTTTGAAGTTACTAAAAAGACGTGTGTTTACTAGTGGTGGTCACCCCGTTTTTGTGAAATATGCCTAAAAGTTCTCAGCAGCAGACATTAAAGGATATCACATTTTCACTGTAATCTTAAAGTACCATTTGGATCGTTGGAGTAACAACAGCCTGAAACTGCAATGCATAGCTCAGTTCTTGCAGGACATAACATCTCTAGGGCTTCGTGGATACAAATTACACTTAAAAAAACAAACAAATTTTTACCCCCAAAACCTGTGGAATTAACCCTTTTAAAATTTCTTACTGTTATTTAAATATCACTTCTCTTAGGTAAAAAACAAAGCCATGTTTTTCAGTTTCGTACTTGTTACTCGTTAGCTGCACAACTATCTGGTTGTCACATAAAAAAAAAAACAGGAATTACCACCACATATTCCAACGTTCATTCTTTGTTTGCACGGTCTCTGACCGACTCGTTATTGTTGAGTGGCGGAGGGGGCGACTGCTTGCTCCTCATGCTCCTGCCGTCTGTAGCAGCGCGTGATGTCTCCGTCACAAAAAGCCGGGTCACCCAAACTGAGGTGACAATGCGTTTGTACTCGTTCCTGAAGTTCCTGTTGAGTAAACCGTAGATGATGGCATTCAGACAGCTGTTGAAGTACGCCATGAAGTAGCTCACAACAAAGAGCCACTCGGGGATGCGGGGTCCCACACGTGTTGGATCTATGGCCACAGCCAAACCGATCAGGTTAAGAGGGGCCCAGCAGATGGCGAACAGCACAAATACTACAAACATTGTGATGAAATTCCGCAAGTCACTTGGTCTGAGGCGGGGGCTGTCGTCAGTCTTAACTTTACGCCGCACCTAGACAGGAGGGGACATGTAGAAGATAAACAGTATTCACCAACTCTACTTAGTCAGTGTGCCTTTTTGGCTAGACCTTTTAAAAGATATACACAACTTACCTGAATCACAAGAACCCAAATGCGGAGATAACAAAAGGTAACCACTGCGATGGGCACCAGAAAGTGAACCACCACCACCGCCACAGTGTAGGAACTGCTGACGTTCTGAGCAAAGGTGCAGGAGTAGACCCGTGGGTCGTAGCGTAGAGAACCAACAAAGAAATTGGGGACGATGGCCACAACTGTAAGCACCCAAATTAAGGCAACAAACAGCAAAGTGTTACGGTAGCTGTACAGGCGGCTGTAGGAGAACGAGTGACAGATGTAGCAGTATCTGTTCACTGCAATCCCCGTGATGTTAAAGATGGAGCCGATGACACTCAACCCCATCAAGGAACCGCTGACCTGAGAGAAGAAAAAGAATAAGGTAGAGAGTTTGTGTCAGACATTGTTAGGAGTTTGCTTACTACTAGGATGAATTCAGACAATGATTGATGTGGCTTTACCATGCATTGAGTGTTTCCAAGCGCCCAACCATCATGGAAGAGAGCGTAAAGGACCAAGGGATAGGGATAGAAGGCTACCACAAGGTCTGCAAATGCCAGACTCACCACAAACACATTACCTAGAAAGGGAGACAGGCAGAGATGAGGCTGATCCCCAGGATGTCAGGTCCCAGACGTCACTTCAGATGCTCTGTTAACGCTGCATTTATCCCGTCTTTAATAACAGTGGTGATTTCACCCCTCACACTTGAATCAAAGCCCATTTGCTTGGATGCACACGGTCATTATTCACAATGTCTTAATGTAAATTTTACTTCACAGATTTTAAAAGGAAAAGAACTGCAGACTTTTCTTGTGGCATGCACATTCAACCCCGACTGACATCAATTCCTAATGCTTAGTCTTATAACTTGAACGGACCAGACTGAGCAAAACTCTGGACTGCTGCATGGGATGTGATTTTCAGGGTGCCTATCTCAGGACGTCCAGCTTGCCGTGATTGTTGGCAGAGAAAGCAGAGATTAAAAAAAGGTTTGCAGCCTCTGCCCCATGGCCGATTGCCTCGCCCTAGACAAAGATTTTTATCAGGACGACGAGCAGAGTCACCATTTCGACAGAGTAGAAAGACAAGCATGTGGACACATCACTCAGGGCATGCAGGTCCTTTTTCATCTTTGCTGCTCCTCAGCTTAATCCAAGCAGAACTTGTTTACACAAATGACACATCATTTTTCCTAATATAACTAACAGAAGCTTGCAAAGGAAATCAATGAAGTTTCCTTCATACATCATGATTAAAATACTTCATTCTATCTTTACTGATTGCTTATTTACCAGTCAACTTGGCTTTCAGCTGCCTTGTGATATCTAATCACACGCACACAGGTGTGCACAGTTCTGACGTAGCAGTCCTCATGCTGCTGAGCCAATGCTGGCAACTCGTCTGCCAGTGTGTTTGTCCTCTTCCTTTTGTTTGTTGGTAAAGGATGCATTACATATTGCAGAGGACAGGGACAAGATAAATAACCTGATCAAAACAAATGCCAACTCTATCATTGGCTCACCTCCAGGTTCTGTGGAGGTTAGAGAAAGAGTTTAATATATGAGGAACATCTCCTTCATAGTGTCTCTTTACCCAGCTGCTTGTGCTCTTAGAGGCGAGATCGAGGGTTCTTTGTTGCTGATGTAGTTAAGCTTTTTAACAATGTACTGTTGCATTATGACATCAATGTTTGGGGTAATAAATTACTTTAACAGGCTTAGGTGTTTGGTGAATCCTTTATTTGCCTAGCTTGGGTGTTTGATGAAAGTGTTATTGTTAAGGAAAGGGGTGTGTCGATAGGCAAGGCAGGCAATTGCTCGGGAGCCCCAGAGACCTCCACAGGGCCAACAAACTTTGAACCACAACAGTAGTGAGAAAGTGAAAAGCACATTGGCCTCCCGATTACTCTAAGAGAGAATCTTATACGCACCCACACCAAACAGACATTGTCCAGACTTCTTTGCCTAACCTGTAAATGAGGTGTTTTGCTTGGGGCCCCATGACAACCTCGTAGCGCCAATGTCACCAACTGCAGTAGCTTCTCGAGGACTACCTCCCTAAAATTTTTATGTTTCCTGCTCTGGCACCCCTGACAAATGGTTAAACTCATTCACTGCCAGCTGTTTTCTGGAAAAAAATAGCCACGTTTTTGAGCGTTTTTACTGTTTTTTTGAAGAGTCACAGAATATTGTGCTCTATGACCATGTGAACACCAAAACTACCAAAAGAAAGAGTGACCTCACTTCTTATATTAGGAACAATCAGTGTGCTTCTAGCCTTTCCTGTTCTTTCACTTCTGTTGTCGGAAACGTGAGCTGCAGAAGCTTTTCCAGTTTTCGTCTCGCTGTATAGCAGCGTCCCAAAACAATCTCCTAATTCATGGATTGTCTGCTTCATGATCACGTGATGTGTGACACACATGGATGTAAATAAACTTTCGAGCTGTGATGTTTACTGTCAAGGTGCGCAAGCTCGTTCCCAAGCCTACCCCGTTAAAACACGCAATTAATGACAGCGAGCGGTTGGACATAAAATGATGACTTTAGTCGTCAATGGCAGTGAATGAGTTAATCACCACCTCACCACGCTAAGCTTAGTTTGTTAACCACTCCATTTAAATCAGGTGTTGGTAACCCTTGGTCTAGGGCAGGTGTGCCTAACGCTGGTCCTAGAGATCTTGTATGCAGCATGTTTTAGTCTTTCACCTGTTTCAACATACCTAATTTGAATCAGTGGTGATTAATAGGCTCCTGCGGATTGATGAGCTGCTGGACAAGTGATAGAGCCATTGAATCAAGACTGTTCGAGCAGGGTAACAACTAAAGCCTACTGCACACTGGATGCATCAGCGGTGTGGAATGGCAGCGGAAAGTCACTGCTTCAAATATAATCCATTAGAGTCTATGGGGTGGTTCAAACCAGCCGCGACCCGGCAATTTTCAGACGCAACCCTAGAAGTGGCACGCTGTGCCTCGCCACTAAAGATAGGATCGGGTTCTATTTTTGCTGTGAGCCACTTCTGGTACATGACAATTTCCGTAGTTAACATAGAGCTAGGCATGAAATCACAAATGGTTTCAAAATAAAAGTCTATTGCAGCAATGCAATTTTATATCCATGCAGATTACATCAATACAAGCAAACTAACGGCTTTTTCCACCCAGGCCTTTAATCCTGGCAGTGGAGAGGAACAACATCATATCAAACAGCAATATCAAACGTGATTTCCTTCTTTTTGTTTAATGGTGGACGGCATCAACTTGAAGGATTTCGTGATCTCGTGAGTTAAACAAGGAGGAAGGCGGAAGTCTCAAAGTATTTTGTCATTTCGCTAGTCGAGCAAGGAGCACAGCAGAGAAGCCACTTTGCAGCAGAGACTCTCCTGGTGTGCACTGGAGTGCAGCGATTGTCGCGAGTAAACCTTTCTGCTGCTTTTCTGTGCCGCTGATGCTTCCAGTGCAGTAGGAGTTAAACTTGCTGGATAGGGGCCGTTTCTCACCAAATCAGGATTTTGACCAAAAGTATCATCCATCCATCTATATTCAGTCGTTTATCCAGAATTGGGTCGCGGGGGCAGCAGCTTAAGCAGGGAGACCCAGACTTCCCTCTCCCCAGCCACTTGGGCCAGCTCTACTGGGGGAATCCAAAAGTGTTCCTTGACCAGCTGAGAGACATAGTCCCTCTAGCTTGTCCTGGGTTTTTCCTTTGATACCAGAAGTATCAGAGCATTTTATCCTAGTCTTGGCTCTCCATTTCGTATTTTCTTTTTTGGTTTTATAATTAATTTTTGGGTAAATCAACATCGTCGCCATTGTCTTCCTCTGCTTATCTGGGTCTGGGTTGAGGGGGTAGCATCCCAAATAGGGAGCTCCAGACCATCCTCTCCCCAGCCACCTCCACCAGCTCCTCTGGCAGGACCCCAAGGCGTTCCCGGACCAGATTGGAGATGTAACCTCTCCAAAGTATCCTGGTCGACCCGGGGGCCTCCTGCCGGCAGGACATGCCCGAAACACCTCCCCAGGGAAGCGTCCAGGAGGCATTCTGACCAGATGCCCAAACGACCTCAACTGACTCCTTTCGATCCAGAGGAGCAGCGGTTCAACTCCGACATCCTCCCGAATGTCCGAGCTCCTCACCCTATCTCTAAGGCTGAGCCCGGCCACCCTACGGAGGAAACTCATTTCGGCCGCTTGTATCCGTGATCTCGTACTTTCGGCCCTTACCCAAAGCTCATGACCATAGGTGAGGATTGGGACGTAGATTGACCAGTAAATCAAGAGCCTGGCTTACTGGCTCAGCTCCCTCTTCACCATGACAGATCAGATCAGCGTCCACATCACTGCAGACGCTGAACCAATCCACCTGTCGATCTCCCGATCCCTCCTACCCTCACTTGTGAACAAGACCCTGAGATACTTAAACTCCTCCACTTGAGGTAGGACCGGAGTTGGCAAGCCACCCTTTTCCGGTCGAGAACCATGGTCTCAGATTTGGAGGTGCTGATTCTCATCCCAGCCGCTTCAGACTCGGCCATGAATATACCCAGCAAGAGCTTAAGATCAGAGCTGGATGAAGCTAGGAGGACCACATCATTCGCAAAAAGCAGAGACGAGATTCTCCTGCCACCAAACTCGACACACTCCACACCACAGCTGCGCCTAGAAATTCTGTCCATAAAGGTAATAACCAGAACCGGTGACAAAGGGCAGCCCTGGCGGAGTCCAACCCTCACCAGGAACAGGTCCGACTTACTACTGGCTATGCGGACCAAACTCACGCTCCTCTGGTAAAGGGACTGAATGGCCCTTAACAGAAAGCCACCCACCCCATACTCCTGGAGTGTCCCCCACAGGGTGCCCCTGGGGACATGGTCATAAGCCTTCTCCAAATCCACAAAACACATGTGGATTGGTTGGGCAAACTCCCATGCCCCCTCCATCACCCTTGCAAGGGTATAGAGCTGGTCCACAGTCCCACGGCCAGGACGAAAACCACATTGCTCTTCCCCAATCTGAGATTCAACTATCGATCGGACCCTGCTCTCCAGTACCTTTGAGTAGGCCTTTCCAGGGAGGCTGAGGAGTGTGATCCCCTATAGTTGGAACACACCCTCAGGTCACCCTTCTTAAAGATGGGGACCACCTCCCGGTCTGCCACTCCACAGGAACTGCCCGCGATGACCACGCAATGTTGCAGAGACGTGTCAACCACGACAGCCTTACAACATCCATAGCCTTGAGATACCCAGGACGAATCTCATCCGCCCCCGGGGCTCTGCCGCTGCTGTGTAGTTGTTTGACTACCTCAACAACTTCTGCCCCCAAGATTGGACAGTCCATCCCCAGGTCTCCCGGCTCTGGTTCCTCCTCGGAATGTGCGTAGGTGGGATTGAGGAGCTCCTCAAAGTATTCCTTCCACCGTCCGACTATAGCCCCAGTTGATGTCAGCAGCTCCCCATCCCCACTGTAAACAGTGTGAGCGAGTTGCTGCCTTCCTCTCCTGAGGTGCCGGACAGTTTGCCAGAACCTCTTTGGAGCTGATCGATAGTCTTTCTCTATGGCCTCACCAAACTCCTCC